GGTATTCTCGTTTTAGCTCCTCAATTTGGCCTAGAAGATCTTTTTCAGCTTCACACAACTCATCACTAAATTGTTTGGCGTTACACGCATCAACTTTTGCACTCAATTGAGCCTCTAAGTCGTGAATAGAACTTCCAAATTGATTGATCTCTTGTCCCAGTTCAGCTCTTCCTTCTATAAATTGTTGCATCTCATTCATAATTTTCTCACGAAAACCTCCATATTCCTCTAATAATTTCCCGTGCATATCAAGAATGCAAACATCGTGTTCTACATCATCCAATTCGTTACTCCTGTCAAACTCACAAGAATTATTAGAATCAACATAAGAAGGGATTGGAGTAGGATAACAACACTTAGGACAATTATTCCAATTTCCATCACAAATACTACATGATGGAGATGGTGCACATAACTCGGTATTTGGAATGTTTTTACAATATTGCCACAAGTGAGGTCCTTTACAATATGGACAAGGATCACAAAAATAAGAATACTTACTATCCCACCACTTTTCGTTCAAAGATGCCACGTAAAAAAATATATAATACTAACTACACTAGACTAAATTTAAAAATTAAGTAGATAAAAAGAAAAAATCTAATCTAGTAAAATAGTTAATTTCTAAGTCCCCGACAATGGCGCCAAAAACTTGTTGCTCCCAAACGCACACGCAAGTATACGCGGTCGACAAGTAATATAGGATTGTAAGTCCAGATATCGTACCCACAGGGACTTGTGATTAACTATAACCTAAATTAAACCCAAACAATTAATCTATTCAAAAGAATTCTAAAGTACGAATATTTAACTAAAGATAATCTAGAGTAGTAAACTAAGAGATCAAAGAAAAAAGTTGGTAAATTATAGAGACGAATTCAATGTGAGTGAATATTCTAGAGCTATGGGTTAGCTAACAATCCCGTTGAGTTTTCTACCTAACTTGTCTAATTAATTTATCTAGTTTATTGATTGACGAGGTTAATATTGCGCGTAGCCTTCTCTCGAAGTACAACTCGCCTATTCAAGCTAACCTAACGCCTATATTCCTATGAAATTAGGATTAACAAGAACGCATTTATAATTCCCGTATAATAACCAAGCAAGGCGATTAGGTATATTCCTATCCTAACCGCAAATCCCCCCCCCCCCCCCCAGAGTTAAGATCTTACTCTACTCAATCTTATATGCAATCTAGAATTCCCTCTCCCGAGTTCAATCCTAGATTCATAGATAGTATTCAATTGGTGATCAAGCAATCAAATAATTAAGCGCAAGATTGAATAAATAAACCAATATGATAAAATAATAAGAACAATTCAAGGTTCAAACTACAACGTTCATGTAGCACCCAAAACTCTAGAACTAATAAACTATAAAATTAAAGGAAGAGAAGAGAAGAAAAACTAGTTGAAAGCCTCCTCCAAGGGTGGTGTGTGTTCCCCCACGTGAAACTCCCTTCAAAGTATATTAGATATCACCAAAGTGGCGTCCTCTCTTCAAAAATAGGTTTAGTCTTGCTTTTATACGTGTTGGGTAGGTCTAGGGCCGAAATAAACTTGTCCCGGGCGAAATAGGACACATTTCACGTCACCGGCGCCCAGCCCAGCGCCAGGCACCCTCCATAGCGCTCAAATATTTGTGCATACTGTTTTTGGCGCCACAGGTGGCGCCAGGCGCTGCCTGTGGCGCCCAAATTCGCACCTTGCCCGGTTTCGTTCGTTTTGGCTCAAATCTTGCACGTTTGGCCCCGTTCCATTTGGAATTTAGAAAAACGTAAAATATAAAAGTTGTAGCCCTTTGAGTTAGTTTTCCAACCATATATTGTGGAGACCAAATGTAGTTCTGAGCAAAAAGTTATGTGTATTTTTCTAGACAGTGCGCAATATGCCTACTCGAGTCTTCATTTGTTCTTAACTATCAAAGTTGACCCCTGACACGATCCCGGCTTAATTCCTTGGGCTTTTACTCAGACTTCAAAGCTCCAAATCAGTTGAATTCATTCCATAACATCTATATAGCTCGGAATCGCTCCTACAAGGCATAAAACACACAGTTAGTGCAAGACGCTAGCGATTAAAGCGCAAACTCAACCAAAGTGCAGTAAATTTGAGTGTAATAATCGACTAAAATAAGTAATTATAGCCTATCATCAGATACACCTTGTTTTCCAAAAATATTCCCCACCCTGGTTCCCAGAAACCCAATAAAGAAAAACAAAAGAAGAAAGGAAGTTCCTGCAGAATGGTTAGTTAGAGCACATACGTAGAGCTGTCAATATGGGAGCCGGTCTAGCTCAGCCCAGTTCATGTGGGCTTTAGCAATTGACGGGCCGGGCTGGGCTAGCCCACTATTTTAGTGGGTCTTATAATGGTCAGTCCACCACAGCCCTATGTGAGCTGCGGGCCCCCATGGGACCAGCCCATCACTTTTTTAAATATAATTTTATGTTTTTTCTTTAAGTTCTAGCCTAAAAAAGATAAATATTTAAAATTTAAAAAAATCTTATTGGAAAATTTTTACAAAACTTAATAAATTTTTATATTGTTCCAATATATCACAATTAATACTAAAAAGTAAAAGACAAGACTATATTTCATTCTCTAAAAGTTAAAACTCAAAACAAACTATTCAAGAGAACGCCCATGATGCTTATGTGATATCCAACACATCATCTTCATCAAACACATTTGAATCCGCTTGTGAGAAGGTTGTCTTAACATCTTCACTTTCATCTACATCTATAATTTGTATGCAATATTAATTAGTTAAATATTAAGAATAATTAAATTTTTTAAATTAATTAACGTTTTAAGACTTTGATCTTTTAATATGATTAGAGCCGTCAATATGGGCTTGGCCCGTTGGGCCAGCACAGCCCAGCCCGTGATTGGCAGGGTTGTGATAGAATTTTTGGAGCCCGTTAAAAAATGAGGCTTTTAAGCCCGGCCCGAGTAAGCCCATGGCCTGTGAGGCTTGACTGAGGCTGGGCTGGGCCGGCCCGTGGGCCTAATAAAATATTTATTCAAAATATATAAAAAAAATAAAAAGTATACTGCCTCTAGAAATGGAAAGTGAGAATTGGATCTTTACTAAGAGGAACCAAAACTTGATCTTGAGAAGCTTCAAGAGATGGATGTTGTCATGTATTGGAAGGACCATTCTAGAAAATATCCCGATCTTTCAGTGATGGTGCGTGATGTACTTAGTATTTCTATTACCATTGTAGCATCAGAATCAACATTTAGCATTGGTGGCATGTTCTTACAAAGTACAGAAGTTGCATTTATTATGAAAATGTCCAAACACTTGTTACTACGCGAAATTGGCTGCACACCTTTCCCAAACTCAACTAGTAATATTTTTTATGTAAATTTAAATATTATTAATTTTTAAAATTTAATTATTCTTAATATTTAACTAATTAATATTGCATATGAATTGTAGATATAGATGAAAGTGAGGATGTTAAGACAAACTTGTCACAAGCAGATTCAAATGTGTTTGATAAAGATGAACTGTTGGATATCTCATAAGCATCACGAACGTTCTCTTGAACAGTTTGTTTTGAGTTTTGAATTTTAGTGAATGAAATATAATCTTGTCTTTTACTTTTTTTTAGTGTTTATTGTGATATATTGGAAGAATATAAAAGGTTAGTATTAAGTTTTGCAAATTTTTTCCAATAAGATATTTTTTAACTTTTGAATAATTATCTTTCTTTAGGTAAGAACTTAAAGAAAAATTATAAAATTGTATTTTTTTAAAATGATGGGCCGGCCCGTGGGGGCCCGCGGCCCACATAGGGTTGGTGAGGGCTGACCATTATAAGGCCCATCAAAATAGTGGGCTAGCCCAGCCCAGCCCGTCAATTGCTAAAGCCCACGTGGGTTGGGCTGGACTAGCCCGGCCCGGCCCATATTGACAGCTCTAAATATGATGAGCTTAATAAAGTTTAAGCTTGGGATACTCTTCTTGTTATTTTTTGTGTCATATACTTTTTATATTTTATATATACTTTAAATACGTATTTTTATTAGGCCCACGGGCCGGCCCAGCCCAGTCTCAGTTAAGTCTCACGGGCCATGGGCTTACTCGGGTCGCGCTTAAAAGCCTCATTTTTAAATGAGCTCCAAAAATTCTAGCCCAACCCTGCTAAATCATGGGTGGGGATTCTGGACCAACGGGCCAAGCCCATATTGACGGCTCTCCCCATATGCAATCTACAAAAGAAGAAAAGTCCTTTTACTATTTCCACATGTTTAATTGTTGGGAAATTTTCGTTCCTATACCATATAGGAAACTATATTACCAAATATGTTCATAGTTTGCATATTACCCTTCATGCTAATAGTATTTCTACATAATATATACAATGCATTAAATAAGGAATAATGGTAGCTGTAGGATACCTTATTTAGGCGCTGAAAAAGGGGAATTTAATATTTTCCAGATCTTCAGGAACGCAAATCACGCACAGTAATAACTATCGTCGACTTCGTTACAAAATTTCAGCACTCTGTTTTTGCGATAGTCTCTGTTTCAACATTTTCTCTGTTTTCACAAATCAAAATCGACAAAATCTTCTACAGTTCTTCTGCAACAAAAGCAATTATGGCAAAAATACCAATTACGCTACAATCGAATGGGAATCGGGATAGCTTTGATCGATTTAGAGAATTCGAGGTCGATGGCATTGTAGTCGATGAAGATGCGAGTTATAGTATATTGATTTCCACAATAGCACAGCAATTAATGATCGATACATCTGAAAAATTATAGAAATCAAATACATTGTCAACGAGCATTGTCCTCCAATGGAAATTAGGAACGATATGGGTGTTCGTGTATACATGGAGACGAAAAAGGAAAACAAAAACTTAGGATCATATCCGCTATGTATAACTGTTCGCAATTTCAACATGTAATTGAGTATCACCAATGAGAACACAGTTGCAGGTTTGTGCTGTTACATTTTCTATCAAATTCTGGTTGTATATCAACGTCCTACACTTTATCTACATTTTATCTACAAATAAACTACATGTCAGAGTAAATATATATATCAGTATGGATTTCACAATATCTACAAAATTTCTACATTTATTCTACAATAAAACTACATATCATTTGAAAATCAATATGAAATACAGAATTTCAATGTTTCTACAAATTATCTACAAAATTTCTATAAACTGTTCATAACAGAATTTATCTTATTTTCATGCAGGTTCGTCTGGAACACTAAAGTTACTTGATATGCCAACATCTCCCGTTATAGAGGAATATGAAAGTATAATAATAACAGATAGTACACCAAGTTTTATTGAAATAGGACAAGTATACCAAGACAAGCAAACAATTGCAACTTCAATGAAGCACTATTCTGTCATGCACAAGTTTCAATTCAGGGTTAAAAGATCTAGTGCTAGAAGGTATGAACATTGCACTTGCTATTCTTTTTTATTTTGTAGTGTATTTTTAAATTTCTACTTCTTCAGTTTTTTTTGGTGATATTGTTTAACAACATTGTAGATAGTTTGTAGCTGTTTTGTATATAAATAGTTGTATATGTTCTTTTATGCTAAAACTGTTTTTTTTTGTGATCTACATTTTTTATACCAGTGTTTAAATTATTTTTATTTTGTAGCTACTGGCTGGTATGTGTTGGTGAAAATTGTACGTGGCACTTCAAGGCAACTAGCATAAATGATTCTGCAATGTTCAAGGTTAGAACATTCAACAGCTTGCACACATGCTCTTTGATGGACAGTACATTCATACAACGCAAACCTACTGCCATGGTAGTTGGTAGCATGGTTATTCCAAAATATGCTGATCCTAAGACAATTTACACACCAAAAGACATACAAACTGATATGTTGTCTGAACACGGCGTGAACTTAACATACATGCAAGCTTGGAGAGCAAAGGAAAAGGCTATGGAGTTTTAGAGAGGTCGATCCTGCTGACTTCCACAGCAAATTGCCTAGTTATTTGTATATTCNAGAAGAGTCGCCACCTAATGATTGAGTGCATTAGGACACCAAGGAATAAAAAAAGAAAAGAACCAGAGAACGGGTAAGGGCTTGAAATTATCCTAGGGGGAAGGTGTTAGGCACCCCCCAAGATCCACTAGTGTGGTTACCGGCCATGCTACAATTTGTGACTTTAAAGCGAATAAAAATACAAGACAACTTCATATAACGATTACAAGTAGGATTTTTTATAAAGGTCAAATAAGCATGCTGAAGTTAGGGAGTAGATGGTTTCATGCTCGTTTAAAAGAATGTATAAATGCAGAAAAATGAGGGTCAAGTAATGAATGCAAATAATCAGACAAAGAAGTAAAATGAGTGGAAGTTTAAAAAATGAAAACAGTGCTGGAAATTCCAAAGAGGTTTGAATTAAAGTGAAATACAAAGTTTAAAGAACTGGAAAACTGACGTAAGCACATATGGAGGGAGGGGGATCCTAGGTTTATAAATAACATGGATCATCCACGCAACACCCGGTAGCCGATTATACGCATGGTGTTATCGCGTGATCATCATCTCCATGTCTACCCTTTCCCACCCCGTTTAAGGTATTAAAGCGCGGAATGATCTCGTTACTTATTGCATGCTATTACCCGTCCCGATCCTATCAGTCTCGGAGGCATTGAGACTACTAATCCTAAAAGGGAAGGGAATTGGGCTTTTCAGAGTTTAAAAGGATAAAAAATCTAAGGCGACAAGCAAAAACACATAAGCAGTTAGGGGAAGAACACATAGCAATTAGGGCTCAAATAGGCCTCCTCACTTAAAAGAGCAGATTGTATAGCATGACTTCAAATACTGGTTGTGGTATGGATTTAAAAAAAATTAAGTAAAGGAGGTAGCTGATTTATTACATATTTTCAGATAAGGAGTCTGAATTAGGCCTTGTCTGGATGTAGTTTATCAGAATTGACGCAATTAATTGCCTAAGTGAGGCCTATAGGCATGACATCTAATAGAGCGTACTGATTTTAGGGAAAAGGTTGCTGGTTGTATAAACGAAAGATCTGCAGATTTTGACGACCTTATGACTGATTTTAGACTCGTAGATGAAATAGACGAAGCTGGTTCAGTTGATTATTCCTACAGGCATGATTTCTAAGCGTAATTGGTTTTAAACAAATACATAAATGCAAGAGTCCTATAGGCATAGTATCTAGAGTGAAGTTGGTTATTTATTAAACCTATGATTGTTTGCCTAATGGCATGTATATGCAGAAGTGCAGAAATCTAAAGTCATGATTTTTATATGCATGACTTATAGACATAATTTCTGAGATGCAGAAATGCAGAATTTATAGGCATAATTTCTACAATGCAGACGTGCAGAAACCTAAAGTCATGATAGACATAATTTCTAAGATGCAGATGTGCAGAAACCTAAAGTCATGATTTCTATATGCAGGACTTATAGACATAATTTCTAAGATGCAGATGTGCAGAAACCTAAAGTCATGAGTTCTATATGCAGAACTTATAGACATAATTTCTAAGATGCAGAAATGCAAAATTTATAGGCATGAGTTTAAAATGTAGAATGCGGAAATTGTAAATAACCTATAGGCAGGTTTTCTACCCTTGGCATGCATTCATCCCCATCCCTTTCCACTAGCCATCCTCAACTGTTATTACAAATTATTACAGACCCAAATGAATTAGAAAAAAAGAAAAGTAAAATTACATCAGAAGCTCCAGCTACATCCAAACAGCCTAATTCAAACTTCAAAGTCCAACAATATGAGATAAACCAACTTCCAGGATTAGATTTCCAAAAGCCTTTCTCATATTTGGGATGTGTCAAAGTTCCCAAGAGTCTCAAAGGGCTCCGGGCGGTGCTTACACCCCAAACACATTGCAGAATTAAGATCATAGTGCAGTGTGGAAATGCCAGCCCTCAGATGTCCAAGTTCAGAGGGAACTCAAGGTCCCAAAGCAAGGCTCATAAGAGAGGGGCAGAACTTAAGGGTCTAAGAATAAGTGTAAGTGCATAGGGGAATTAGGGAAAGCCTTGACAGGCTAGTGGTCATGCCCAGCAAATGGGAATGCTGGCACACCCCTAACCAGCTTGTTAGCCAAACTTAAGAGTTGGGATCCATTGTGGATCAGGTTATGGCTTGGGCAGTAATTAGGATACTACCAGGCGAAGAAGCTTAACTCAAACACATAGAAGGGAATAGGGGTAGGGGTTCACAATAGAAAGAGCAAGGAAGGAACATAATTAGCACAAATCACTGAACATATGCAGTAAAGTAAACAAGGATGCTGAAACTGTGAAGTAAACACATAGGGGTGAGGCAGAAAATTAAATGAAAAACATACCAGTTTCAAAGGAAAACAAGTAAGAAAACAGTAGTCTTTGAATAGCCAAGTTGCAAGCACAGCAGTTCCAAAAGGTCTCAAGCAATGCAGAGTATTGAATTCAAATTAGTAAGGTGAATGTGTGAGTTGAAAGTAAGCAGTTCGAGGTATTGAACTTGAAGTATAGAGGCGAAGTATTTGATTGGGAGTGTAGATGTAAAGTTTTTTCTTCTTAAAGTGCAGAAGTGCACCCCCTTTTATAGTGCAAAGAGAACCAGTAAGAAAGGTAAAGAAATCATTGGAATCAATCTCCCTTTGGTTAAGGGATTCTGATTCCAACGGGTAGATATTAGTTAAGGAAAGAAATTTTTACTAAAACCTTTCAAAGTAGCACAAAAGGGGTAAATACATAGAAGTTATTTAAGAAAATAGTCAATGGTACACGGTTTGTGCCAAATATGGCAAGGGAATCAATTAAACAGCCATGAAACCAAAAATTGCAAGTTCAATTGAATGAACCAAGTCAAAAAAGGTAAAGGAGGTTCAATCGAAGGAAAATCAGTGGTAAATTTTTAGCCTTATTAAAGGGATTTCAGAATCAATCACTTAGTTGATAAAAAAACCCTTTGAAAGAGACATTTCTCATATATATAAGCACACAGATCAAACGAAAAGAGTCATTAGGTTATTTAGAAAAAGAGTTTAACACTGAAGGTCTCAGAGTCACAAGCAAAGAGATTCAAGCTTAATTACAGACTCACAGTGAGTCTGAAAGCCTAGAGTCCCAAAGCGTAACCCTAGTACCACTTGTCAAAGAAACCCCAAAACCTAGGGTTTCGAATAGAATCAGAGGTGAGAAAACAATGTCTTTGAAAGAGGCTTCGAAATCTCTTTCAAAGACTTATGAGAGGCAAACATACACAAACAAGCTCAGAAGAAAGAGATGATGTGAGTTTTTAAACAACAGCGGGGAAAAATATACAAACAAAACTCAGTAAAGCGACCAAAATCCAGGATTCAAACATAAACACATATAGCAAAGAGTGAGGAAAACAACACAAATTAGCATGCGAGCATAAGGGTAACAGCAGAAAAAATAGAAGAGTCTTGCATAATAATAAAAAGGAAGAAACAAGAGAGCAAACTCATGCATAATAAGAAGAAAACATACATGCATAAACACACATAAAGAAAGAACAGGAAAGATCAGAAAATTATTTGAAGAAACCCTTTTCAGAAACCCTAAAATTGAGATTGAACGATTTTAAAGAGGAAATTTGGGAAAAACCTTTGAAACGTCAAATAACGCTCAGGCATGTCACATATCTAAAAGAAATAAGCAAGTACAGAACCTCAGATGGCTTAGAGTTGCAGAGAAAACCCTAGAATGAGAAAAGGTCTTGAGGAAAGTCGGATCCTGAGTCGAAAAGACTCATATTGCTTGAACACGCCGGAATAATGGCCGGAAAGGCCATAGATCAACAGATCTGAGAAAGGATCTAAAGAGAGCCATTGAAGTCGGGCCCCCAAACTTCGAGTAGCTTGGGTTTAACGGTGAGAGAGAGTGAGCACAGGCCACCCATGGCTTGGAATGCCATGGATTCCGGTGGAAACATGGTAGAAACAGGTGGGAGATGATTAGGGTTTCGGAGAGGCTAGAGAGAATTTGGGAGACGAAGAGAATTTGAAGGCGGCGCCTCAGATAGAACGAATTAGGGTAAGGGGTTATGGGAATTAAAAATGGAAAGGAAGAATTACGGTCGTTGATCAAAATGATCAACGGCCAGGATTAAAGGGGAGCCGGATGGGTTTTAAGATCGGGCCAGGGGTCGGGTAATTTAGGAATTGGGTAGGTTTCATTTGGGGCAGAATTGGGGGTTAAATTGAGGTTAAGATTGAAAAGAAATGAGGCTATAATTGAAATAGAAACGGGCTAGATGTTAAATAGACAAATTTCCCCTTTTTTTATTTTTTAAAAATAGTAATAATGATTTTAAAACAAATTAATAGCACTAAACTAATTAATAATATATAAATATTAGTCCAAAAATACTAGAAATAATTTTAGAATTGTAAAATGCTATTAATCGTAAAATAGGCTATAATTGCGATTATATGCAATTTAGATTTAAAAATACCAAATAAATTTGTAAAAATATACAAAAATCACCCTAATTATATTTTGGTGTAAATATGAGAGTAGAAATAAATTATTCACCAAAATGGTAATTTGGGAATAATTATTGGATTTTGTACTGCTAGAAATAGACAATAAATTAATTTTAAAATATTAAAAATTAGGGAAAAATACCAAGACTCTTGGGTATGCTTATATATGCATACACATGATATTTTGGAGGTATTTTGAGTATATAAAAAAATACATAGGGAAAAATTGGGTGTCAACAATGTTCAAGGTCAGAAATTTTGACAAACAGCACACATGCTCTTTAATGGACAATGCATTCATACAACGCAAACCTACTGCCATGGTAGTTGGTAGATTGGTTATTCCAAAATATTCTGATCCTAAGACAATTTACACCCCAAAAGACATTCAATTTGATATGTTGTCTGAACACGGCGTGAATCTAACCTACATGCAAGCCTGGAGAGCAAAGGAAAAGGCTTTACAGTTTTTGAGAGGTCATCCTGCTGACTCCTACAGCAAATTGTCTAGTTATTTGTATATTCTTGAGAAGACTTATCCGGGGTCTGTAGTTAAATTGAAAAAGACAGACGATGACTGCTTCTTGTATGTATTTGTTGCGATTTGTACGTCAATCAGTGGTTGGGAATATTATAGGCCAGTTGTAGTAGTTGATGGGGCCTTTTTAAAGTCAGCATACAGGGGAATAATGCTAACAGCCAGTACAATGGATGCAGCAGGTACTGAAGTTTTATTAATAGAAATATTGTATCTTCTATGTTTTTTGTAGTACTTGCAGATTAATTGTAGATATATTGAAGATATATTGTAGAATAATTGTAGTTTGTATATATATGTCTTCTTCTGCATTTTTACTGCAGCCAATTAATTGCTTATTGCCACATAATGTAGGTACCATATTACCATTGGCATATGTTGTTGTTGATTCAGAGAATGACACATCATGGAAGTGGTTTTTTGAGCAATTCAAGCTCGCGTATGGTGAAAGAGCAAATATGTGTGTTGTTTCGGATCGGAATGAGAGTATCTTGAAGGCAACATCTATTGTTTATCCTGTGAGCACGTGATTTTTGCCCTACATGAAGGTAACTCCTAAAAATAGATCAAAATAATTTTTATTGATTTTTTTTTTTTTAGGAATTTTTCTTTATTTAGTCGCATTTCAGGCATTTTAATATTTGTAAATCAAAATAATAAATACCAAAAATATCTTGCATGTCATTTAGGTTTTATCGGAAGTCATTTGATTTTCATAAAATTAAAAATCACAAAAATATTCCCTTTTACACCTTTTCCTTTTTATTAATTTTCTCTTTTAATTTAGGTTTAAGTAGATTTTATAATTTTTATAATTAGTATAATTTTATTTTATTTTAGGATTTTTAATTCTAGGATTTTTAAAAAAAAACAAAAGAAGATAAAAAGAAATTGGGAATAAAAAGAAGAACCTTCTCCACATGAGATCTTTTCCCCAAAAAATATTTCCCCATATAATACTTTTCCCCAAAATTATTTCCCCACAAAAATACTTCCCCCCAAAATTTTTCCCCACATAAAACCTTTCCCCAAAACTACTTCCCCACATAACACCCTACCCCACACACTCTATAAAACCATCTGCTACACACACAAAATATGAGGGGGAGGTGAAGCCTTGTTTTCTCTCTGGATTTTCCTCAAAAAAGAGAACGACCAGCAGCACTTGATTTTCAAAAAGAAATCGGCCATCATGGCCATGTCCATGGCAAAACCTATCTCGATCGTCCATCTCTAAAGTTCACTAACACCGAACAATTTCAGAGGCTTCGTGATTTGAAGCAGCTGAGTCTTATATACATGGCTATCCTAGGGTTGTGCACTTTCGATTCGAGCATTCCCTAGAGGTCTATTGGCTGGCCAGTGATGTCAGATAGAAATTGAGGAGAAATACTAAGTCAAGCTATCCCGTTAGAGGTTTTTCGGTCAGTGAACGTTGCCGTTGATTTTCACTTTTGAAGCCGAAATTGTTGGCTTTTTGTATGTAGCAAAAGGTTAGAATCTATCAATAAAGCTCCCTTCTCTTCTATTAGTTTATTCTTGCTCATGAGCAGTTAATATTGTGCTCGTCGATAATTTTTGCAGATTTGTTTGGATATCTGATTTACTTACTGTTATTAATNAAAGCCTAGGGTCCCAAAGCGGAACCCTAGTACCACTTGTCAAAGAAACCCCAAAACCTAGGGTTTCGAATAGAATCAGAGGTGAGAAAACAATGTCTTTGAAAGAGGCTTAGAAATCTCTTTCAAAGACTTATGAGAGGCAAACATACACAAACAAGCTCAGAAGAAAGAGATGATGCGAGTTTTTAAACAACAGTAGGGAAAAATATACAAACAAAACTCAGTAAAGCGACCAAAATCCAGGATTCAAACATAAACACATATAGCAAAGAGTGAGAAAAACAACACAAATTAACATGCGAGCATAAGGATAACAGCAGAAAAAATAGAAGAGTCTTGCATAATAATAAAAAGGAAGAAACAAGAGAGCAAACTCATGCATAATAAGAAGAAAACATACGAGCATAAACACACATCAGGAAAGATCAGAAAATTATTTGAAGAAACCCTTTTCAGAAACCCTAAAATTGAGATTGAACGATTTTAAAGAGGAAATTTGGGAAAAACCTTCGAAACGTCAAATAACGCTCAGGCATGTCGCAGATCTAAAAGAAATAAGCAAGTACAGAACCTCAGACGGCTTAGAGTTGCATAGAAAACCCTAGAATGAGAAAGGTCTTGAGGAAAGTCGAATCGTGAGTCGAAAAGACTCATATTGCTTGAACACGCCGGAATAATGGCCGGAAAGGCCATAGATCAACAGATCTGAGAAAGATCTAAAGAGCCATTGAAGTCGGGCCCCCAAAATTCGAGTAGCTTAGGTTTAACGGTGAGAGAGAGTGAGCACAGGCCACCCATGGCTTGGAATGCCATGGATTCCGGTGGAAACATGGTAGAAACAGGTGGGAGATGATTAGGGTTTCGGAGAGGCTAGAGAGAGTTTGGGAGACGAAGAGAATTTCAAGGCGGCGCCTCAGATAGAATGAATTAGGGTAAGGGGGTTATGGGAATTAAAAATGGAAAGGAAGAATTACGGCCGTTGATCAAAATGATTAACGGCCAGGATTAAAGGGGAGCCGGGTGGGTTTTAAGATCGGGTCAGGGGTCGGGTAGTTTAGGAATTGGGTAGGTTTCAATTTGGGGCGGAATTGGGGGTTAAATTGAGGTTAAAATTGAAAAGAAAATGAGGCTATAATTGAAATAGAAACGGGCTAGATGTTAAATAGACAATTTTTCCCTTTTTATTTTTATAAAATAGTAATAATGATTTTAAAACAAATTAAAAGCACTGAACTAATTAATAATATATAAATATTAATCCAAAAACACTAGAAATAATTTTAGAATTGTAAAATGGTATTAATCGTAAAATGGGCTATAATTGCGATTATATGCAATTTAGATTTAAAAATACCAAATAAATTTGTAAAAATATACAATAATCACCTTAATTATATTTTGGTGTAAATATGAGAGTAGAAATAAATTATTCACCAAAATGATAATTTGGGAATAATTATTGGATTTTGTACTGCTAGAAATAGACAATAAATTGATTTTAAAATCTTAAAAATTAGGGAAAAATACCAGGACTCTTGGGTATGCTTATATATGCATACACATGCTATTTTGGAGGTATTTTGAGTATATATAAAAAAATACATAGGGAAAAATTGGGTGTCAACAGCTGCCCCTCTTTACCCGGGAAGGATGAAAGAGTTGTCGGGAAAAGATATGATGGCCAATTTTGACCGAATGAAACGATTGAAGAACTTTGACCGAGCTCTGGTTCCTGAGCTGCCTACATATCCCTGGTCTTACAGGAATCAGGCCATATGTAGTTCGGGATCCATCGACGGAGTATGCCGGTGGGGATTTTCCAAGAAGGCGCGATGGTCAGAGTCTGGTAGGCTGCGGGAACGGGAGCGGGATCGCTCCTGCTGAGATGGCCGTTGCTAGCCGGTGTACCTGCAAATGAATAATACCAACATATATTGTGCGAAGATTTAAACGTGATGCAAGTTCCCGTTGGACCATGAATGCTGTCTTTGGACGGTTAGGATGACGTCCTCGGACTATGGTGTCCTGGGCCATGAAACACATAATAAAGGATTCGCAGGCTATGAAATGATGCTCTCGGTCTATGAGAATGATGCCTCCAAACATGATGCCCTTGAATAATGCGATGCAGAGATAAAAATGGGGTCCTCAGGCCATGGCATGACGTTCTCGGGCTATGAAAATGGTGCCTCTGAACAATGACGCCTTCGGACAATTTTGCGATCTTTCAGCCCATGAAATGCAGGATTTGGCGATCTTTCAGCCGATGCAAGACTTAGATAAAAATGGCGATCTTCCAGCCGATGCAGGATTTAAATGAAGTGGCGATATTTCAGCCAATACAAAACATAAATAAAAATGGCGATCATTCAGCCGATGCAAGATTTAAATGAAGCGGCGATATTTCAGCCATGCAAAGATGTAAGTAAAAAGGCGATCTTTCAGCCGATGTAGGATTTAAATGAAGTGGCGATATTTCAGCCATGCAAAATTTAAATGAAGTGGCGATATTTCAGCCAATGCAAGACATAAATAAAAAATGGCGATATTTGAGCCGATGCGGGATTTAAATGAAGTGGCGATATTTCAGCCATGCAAAAGATGGAGACAGGGCTTAGTCTCGAAAGGCAGAATGGTAGCCTTATGCAATGCAAGAATGCAGATGGAGGCAGAGCTTAGTCTCGGAAGGCAGAATGGTAGCCTTATGCAATGCAAGAATGCAAATGGAGACAGAGCTTAGTCTCGGAAGGCAGAATAGTAGCCTTATGCAATGCAAGAATGCAGATGGAGGTAGAGCTTAACCTCGGAAGGCAGAATAGTAGCCTTATGCAATGCAAGAATGCAGATGGAGGTAGAGCTTAACCTCGGAAGGCAGAATAGTAGCCTTATGCAAAAGATGAAAGATGAATAGTAATTATAAAAAATTCTTAGCTAATAGCTGATAGCTGATATTTGACATTGATATTGTGGCTGCTGGGGATGTTGTGTGCGGATAGCAAATGTAAATAGGTGATGGTTCTGAGAGTTGTATTCCCGAAAAACATGAGTGTATATATGTATTCGATGATCTGCGACTTGGGTGCCTGCATCCAAGGAAAAATGGTGAGTTTTGTAGAGGGGGAAGGTTAGTTCGTATCCCCGTGGACTTCGCTTGACTGGCTCGGCTCTATTTAGGGTGATACTGTGGGTACCCTCGGGTAGCGTTGCTAAACAAAACGATTTCGATAATAGACATGCATGAGTTTTGTTAAAGATATGATATTTGTAGATATATTTAAAAAAACAGCTTTAGATGAACCAACGACTGTGACGCGGCTCAAAACATTGCAACCTTTCTTGCTACGGAATTTTGAGGGCCCCCCTCAAAATTCTGCCCCAGTTTAGTGGATTGCTGCTTCTGACGGCTGCTTGCAATGATCGGCTGAAGTTACTTCGGAATTTTGAGGGTCCTCCTCAAAATTCTGCTCCAGTTTCCAATTGTGGGGGGGGGGGAATGAAAATTTCATTGAATTGTGACCGAACCCATAAGGCTGCCTATGTATCCCGTCTTAAACGGGAATCAGGTCAGACGTAGTTCAAATCACATAAGGAAATCATAAATGGTTACACATAGTATCGCTTGACTGAATCTGAATTTATTCGTTTTGGCCAAACTTCTCCGTCCATTTCTGCAAGTATGAGGGCTCCTCCTGTCAGAACCCGGTGAACCATGTATGGACCTTGCCAGTTAGGGAAGAACTTCCCTTTGGCTTCATCTTGATGTGGAAAAATCTTCTTCAACACCAGCTGCCCTGGTGTAAACCGTCTTGGTCTGACTCTCTTATTGAAGGCTCTAGTCATTCTGTTCTGGTAAAGTTGACCATGGCAAACTGTGTTTATTCTCTTTCCATCTATGAGAGCTAACTGTT